GGGAGCTGGGGCAGGCAGGGGACCCATGGGGGGGGCTGGGGGAGCAGGCAGGGGTCGGGGGTGCTGGGGGAGCAGGGAGTCAGAGGGGCTGACAGGGGTCCCCCCATGGTCCCCTCCCCCTCCCCTAGTACTTACTAGCTCCCCACCGGGGACTGCCCAAATCATCAAAGCTCTTTTGTGAAGATTCAGAGAGCTTTGAATTGATTCAGACCTTTAAACTGGTCCCCTAATTCGATTCGGATTTGGAGATTCAGTCACCAAATCGGGCCACATCTCCTTCTTTGCACAGCCCTAATGTAAACCAGTACTGTTCAGTGAACCAAGTTTTTGCTCAGTCCAAAGCTGCTTTGAAATTCAGGGTGGGTACAATACTTCAATATTTGCTGGATCAGAGTCAATGCATTCCACAGCTTGCAGGATATATGTTTAAGTTGGAGCAATGATCTATACTTTGTGTGTATATGAAAATCATACCCTATCATCATTGCACATTCAAATATAACTCCAATTAAAGGAAAGATAACTTTGGCAGCAAAAGAACAATGAATTGAGACACAGCACTGCAGTAGTGCCATATGTTCTCAACTAGCAATCTGAAGGCACTCAAAATCCTACAGAACTAGAAAGTTAACGTTCTCTCTTTGTAATCATTACCAGTATAATACATTTTGCCAGTAAAGCTAGTTTGTTGAATTTGCTTCTGAAAAATATTCTGTACTGGAAGTTGAGTCCAGGCTGGTAGTTCAACTCATTTTTAACAGCTTTTCAACAATTGATGAGTATTTGAATTAAAAGTGAATAAATATATTGTTTTAGTGTGGCAAAAAAGTCATCCCAACCCCACCCCAGTTCTAACCGTCTCATAAAACACTTAGGTCTAAAATTTAAATTTCTACTCTACATCATATAAACCCAGTTCCTATGTGGGGTTTTCATTTTTAAAAAAGGTTAACACTGAGTTTACTGCAAACGAGTTAACATTTTCAGTAAATGATTTTCATAACTTGCTATAATTGGTGGTAAAGAAAAAAGCAAAGGAAACTAACTGGCAACAAATCACTTTCTAGATGGGAATGATTTGC